TTCCTGCTGCTGTAATAGAATTTTCTATATTTAGCTATCCCCTATCTTCAAAGTTAGTTGGAGGTACTTGGTAGAATGATCAATTAATTAAGCTCCCACCCCATAGTTAGACCTCACAAGGCTTTACTGCTAAGCAAGGGACAGGATTGTTGACCACAAACTTTGCAGTTATTAACTGTTTGATGTAAATATTTTTTTTTTTTTTCCTGCTTCGACATAGGAACTTTAATCTTAGCTCAAACTGCTACCTTCAAAAACAGTGTCAGGAGAACTGAGTGTGAAATGCAGTTGTAAATGGACTTCTGGATTTTGTCCATGTGATTCCTCAGCTTTTTCTTTAATGCTTTATCTTTTCCCCAGCTTTAAGGGTGGCATTGTTTTCTTGCCTGGGCAGTTAACTTGAAAAATTATGTTCTTTATGTGTGTACTCCTTAGTTTTCTGTTTATTTCTTTTAATCTTCTTTCTTTGTAATGATGGATTCTGTTTGAATACTGCTTGTTTGTGCTCCTTGGTTTTCAACTTTGTGCAACAGGAGGAAGCTTCTACATTTTAAAAAGAAGAATTAGGAAACCTATCATAATAATTAGCAACTATTTTTATTGTTGCTGCTTTAATGTAGCAATTCTTATGTATTGTTGTGGTGGTAACTGTTTAATAAAAGTGTATAAAATTTTGTATTTTTGTTTATTGACACTGCATGTGATATCTTCTTTCTTCATACCATTATTTCTAATCTTTCATAGAAGCAACTAGTGGTGATTACCTGCTTATTTAGATCAAGTGTAAGTTACATTAACTGACTTATTGTAATTGTATATCAACAGTTTGTCATCATGTGTTCATTAAAAAAAGTTGGGTTGTTAGACTATAGGAGTAAATGCAGGGCTTCTTTGAAAAAACATGTGTCTTTATTCATCTAATTATATGGCTGACATCTAAAACAACATACAAAATCTAGCTTTACTCTGTAAATAATGTAAAGCTATTCTTGATGAAAGCTGATTATGTTGATTTTATTCAACCTCAGTGGCAATATTTTCAGTAGCTTGTTTCTAAATTAAATATATGCACATCTACAGGTTTTAGTCTGGAACAAAACCTAGGTATCAGATTAAAATAAAGTGTTGTCCCACGTAAGCAATCCAGGAAGGTTAAACTTGTACTTGGACAGAAGTGATTTTTAGCTGTAGCCAAAACTTCTTATCACAGGGATTTGAACTTGTCATCTTAGTAGAAAATCACAAACTCTGCCCCATCCTTATAATCTTGTGATGATCGTTTAATCGTGTTCACTTCCTTCTTTCTGCTCCAGGTCCTCAAGCACATGAAAGATATTGAAATACGGGAAATACAGATCTGTGACTATGAGAAGAAAATAGAAGAGTCTGAGATTAAATTTAAACAGCAACAAACCAACTGTGAAGCTGTGAGAATGGAGAGGAACCTGTACAGTAAAAATCTGATTGAAGCTAAGGTAGAAAGATAAGTTTTTCCTTGTGTTTCTCTCTCTGCTCTTGTTGTTTTTCTTTCTCTGATCTAATTTTAATTCGTTAAAGGGAAAACTCACTGGATAAATGGCAGAAGCGGTTTCTTCATTCTTGTGTGTTTTGGGGAAATGAATATTTTAGCTCCCTAACACTATCTGTACAGTTCGTATTTGGACTGGAAATAGGAGTTGGGAGTCATCATGCGGCAATATCCCTGCTTCAAACCATGCATAAAATCACAGAACACTGGAGATACGGAATTGTATCGGAGAAGATGCTTTTTCCTTTCCATCCTGGCTACACTCTGTTTTATCCCTTTAGGAGCTGTCTGCATGTATGGGAAATAGGATATAAGGGGAATAAGATTGCCTCCTTAGCCCTGAATGCACATTACTTTAAATTATGATTTAGAAAGTAGAGGGAACACTTTCCCAGCTGAAGTGGAATTTTCTGACAGAACTTAACACTTCCACCTCACTTGTTCTTTTCAGGGAGTGTCACTTTCCTCAGGTAATGATTCTCTCCATTCATATCTCTTCCCTGGGGATCTCACTAACAATACTAGAGGAAGAGAACAGATCACTTAAGGATATGTTCTATTATTCTGATGTAAAGATCTAAAATACTACACAAATCCTATTACAATTGGCAGAGGCTGGGACCTTGGATAGCTGTGATTTACAGCCTTGGGTTATTTCAGAATATGGATTTGTAAGAGAAACATACATAGTAGATTTCAGACCATAGTATAGATGTGTATAGGTAGGTGTTTTGCTTGAGAAGCAGATGGGAATTAACTGATCAAATTCAGCACACGGTTGGGTAGGAACTTGATTAGGAATGAATCATTTTGCCATTTATGTCGGCTGCTTTACTTGACCTTTGTCTGCCTCTCATCAGTGGGTGTGGTGTTGGGATTCTCGCTGCTCCTAAACAATTTCTCAGGAGAAATAAGGGTGAAAAATTGCAACATTGGTAATTTTTTTTTTAAATATACAACATAAATTTGCTTACTTATAAAGAACTGACATCTATGTGCTGAGTTACAAAATGAAGCAATGAACTTACCAGCCTTTTCAGGTTTTGAATGTTATATGGTGATGTACACAATGCTGCTTGCAGCTCTAGTTGCTAGAGGTTGGTGTTTAGACTTTAATAGCTTACTTGGCTTACCATAAAAAATTTTTCTGGCAAGTCCTGTGTGAGAAGTTAGCTGACCCCAAAAGATCTTTTGGCTAAAGCAATATTATGCGCAGCAGTGAAAAAATAGCCATTCATAGCTCAGTAACAGGTCAACCAGCCATGAAAGAAAGAAAAAAATAAAATGAAAAAGGGTTTTTTAGGATTATGGTGAATTCTTTTTCCTTTTGAGAAGTAAAACAAATTTGCAGAAGCTTGTTTAGATAAAGCTAGATGTAAGTATTTTTGGATTGCTTAATATGGAAAGATCCCCTGTTGCTCACCTTGTTCCAGAGTACCATAATATTCAATTCAGTAAAATCTCTTGGAAAAGCCATGCTGGCAGGCTTTTAATATGAGATAAATACCTGGTGCTTTCATCCTTGGGGTTTCTTTTGGTGTTAGGAGCTCATTTGTTTAAGCAAGTTAAGAGACCTGTTTGCAAAACTTGTGTGTTCTTACTGTTCTTCATTAAATACAGAATTAGGAATGTATTTGGGTATATTTCTGGGCACCATATTTTAAACCTCTCTCATCTTTTAAAATATTGAAGAGATTTATAGGCTATTTAGCAAAGACAGCTTTTAATATGACTTTTGCATTCATAGGAGTGACTGAACATGCAAACAGGTAGGCCTTATGGCATAACGTTACCTTTATTTCTGGTTAATTCAATGTTTGTGAAGACTGCCATGACTCAAGATCTTGCTTGACTATGTTAAGCATTTCATGCAAGTAAACAATTCATCAAGTAAATCCACATCTGTGGTGGACGGTGCTGAAAGAGCTCCAAGCTACCCTCATTTTGTATTGAAACAGAATGTATTCACATGAAAGGTTATGATGTCTTCTCTGTGAGGTGGTAGCCTCTGGCAGAGGAGTAATAGCTTCTAAAGCTACTTTCGTTAGACAGACATGCTCTTCTGAATCTAAACATTGAATTTATTATCTTCCATTTCATGTTATAACATGTGCCGTCACGGCAATGAGTTGAAATATTTTCTTAATTTTGTATGGGCAGGCACCTCTGTGCTGTGAGTAGAAGCATTCCTAGTGACCTGATCTCTCTGCAGTGCTACCAGGCTTTTTGCGCTATGTTTTGAGCTTAAAATGTATGCTAAATATTCTTATAACAGGGACTTCTCAATCTCTGAGCACACTCTTTTCCTCCTTGCACCTATGTGCAAGCTAGCACATAGACAAAACAGAGATAAGCATTTCCTATACTTCCTTGTAGGCATATAGGTATCTTATGGGTATGTTCGTTTGCACAACAGTAGCTTCTCTCCCAACATTTGTGCCCAACTGTATACAACCTTATTGAAAACCACATTACTAGAAGCATCAAAACAGATGGATATCGTCAGAATCATATTCATTTGGATTGACTACTAGTTCTTATTGTGTGTCCAGCACTTTAAATTAAATGGCTTATTATAATCATAATTGATGGTCATTATTTTTGTCAATGTATCTTTTAAAGGCTTTTTTACTGCAATGTCATGCTGGCATAAACAAAAAATTGTCATTTAATGAAACCGTTTTGTTCTGTTGGATTCGGAAGTAACATCTTGTGGTACATAGAGCAGATCACCTCTCAAGTGCTGTGGCTATGTTTTCCAGCATCAAAATAGCCTGAACTCCCAATAACAAACTTGCTCTTTTTTGATCCTTCTCTGTGATTGCACTTCTTGTCCTATTAGGATGAGATAGCAGAAACAAGGAAGAAACTGAAAACTGTGATACATCAGGTGGATCAGCTGAAAGAGGAGATCGCAGACAGAGAAGCAGCCCTTGAGAAAGCACATGCAGAACATCAGCAGACAGAGAAGGAGAAGGAATCATTGAAAGTAAGAGACTTTACATATACACTTTCTTACAAAGGATGGTTTCCATGATTTCACAGACTGCATTATGTTCCTGGTCTGTGGTAGTATTTTTGCTGTATTTTAATAAATTATTCTGTAATTGAAGTACAAGATCTCAGTACCCTTTAGAAGTATTAGTTACATAAATCTTCCATGTATCTGGCAAATTTAATCTCTGACTATAATTATAATCAGAAAGGTCCTGGATTGTATGTTGGAAGCTTTAAATTTCTTGGTGACTGAACATTTTTACTGAAAAGTTCCATTTTGCTTGCAGAAATGTGGATTTTGGGGATAACCTGATTCTGGCAAAGTTGTAATATAGACCCTTATAATTCAAGTTTTTCTTTTTGAAGTCTTTTTTCTCTGCTGTTTTTAAGTGCAAACCCATTATATTACACTTCACAATCTTGTTTTGCTGTGTGACTGGCAAGCATTAGCCGCCTGGAAGTTAGGCAGTGCCTTTTAGTAGATCCCTCTGCATAGAAAGTTTTATTTTAATGTTGTGGTATAAAGCAGCAAGAATCTATTTTAAATCAAAGGAAAACTGGGCTTGAAGCTCTGTTTCTTCTCAGCACTTGCTGCAGCCCATCCTTAGATAAACTACTAGATTTCTGGTGATATCTCAACCCAATTTGCTGTGCTCTCAAAAGATTTAAGGAGAGGGTCCACAGCATCTTATTTTTTTCTCTTCGCTAAGCACTAGAAAAAAAAAACAAAACCAAGAGACAAACAACACCCCCAAAACAAAAGTCCCCTGCCATTTTCCACAATGTTTTCTTTTGTTAGTTTGTTGCTGTGCTGCAATGACTGCTTGAGTTTTCAGCCCCTCTCAGCATATTACAGCTATGACAAGATGTCATGGAGCTTTGTAAAAAGGTGATGAATTAGTGTTCTTGTACCTGATCTGTCTCAGAGTTGTTCTATCGGTGATGCAGAAGTCAAGCAGCATCTCATTTCCTGTGTGCAGCTTTCTGCCTTAACTAGTCCCCAATTCTGTCTCATCACCTGAGAACAGTCTGCCATCCATTTGACAAACATATGATTGCTACATGGATTACCCACTCAATTATTCACTCGCAAGTATGTCCACATACTGACATCACATTACTGACTAGCTTCAGGGCATTGTGGTCTTACACCTGAGCGTCTCTGCTGAATACTAAAGCAGAAGAGAAATCAAAGATGGAGCTGATTGACACAGGCACAAAAGAACCCAATTATTTGTGTAGCAACCTGGCTTCAATTTGTCCTGTTGGCACTGATGTGAAAGAAGCAAGCAAGCTGTTCCTGAGAAATCAGTTTAAAGAATGTGCTAAATCATGGAGGACTGGGATTCATAGGAATGAGATTATACAGACATTGGATTTATGCTTGCCTCAGCTGGCATAAAGGTCTTAATGTGTAATCATGGTAAATGAAACAGAGGACGCCTGATCCAAGCTCCACTAAAGTCAGTACAATGCCATCTTTTGGTTTCAGTTGGCCTTCATACAGGCTTGTGGATCAGACTGGTTTGACAAAGCATCCGAATGTTGAAAAATATGTATCTGAAAGCTGTAAGAACTATGGCCCCCCAGGTTTGAGCTGTTGTCAAGTGCTTTTGTGTATTTTTATATTTGTTCATGCATGTCTTTTTTTGTTTTCTTTTTTTCAGCATTTTCTAGAAATCTGAATGTAAAACCTCTGACTTGTTATTTCAGCATTCTGTGTCCAGCCCCAGTTATACCTTTTATAAAATTTGTTATACCTTTTACAAAATTCGTATTTTCCTCCCACCTCTAGAACAAATAGAAAAACCCTCTTCACTGATGCTAATATTTCACAATCTAAACAAGAATTTGGTTTAAATTTGGTTTGAGATATCAGCATAGGTCCCATATAAATTCTTCTTTCTTGCTGACTGTTCTTCAGTTCTTACAAGCTCCCTGAACCAACTTCAAATGAGCTGTGCTGATTTACAGCAGTTTCAGACCTGATCATTTTTCTGCTTGCACAGTGACTGTGCTTATTAATTTCCTTTTTCTTACCTAATGTACACAGCCCTCATACTGTAGTTTTTAGCATATTTAATCTAATTGAAAGTCCTGTTAGCTTATGGGGCCTTTGTGTGGCTTAAAGTATTTATGTTCTTTACTATACAAGGCAGTTCAGATTTATTTTAACTTAGTGCATTCTAGTGAGGAGATTTGTTTATATGAATGTTTGCTGCCAACATCTAATGCAACTTATTTACAACTCATATTTTTTCTGACATAAGGAGAACATAGAATTTTGATATATTTAAAAAAATATTATCCAGCAATGCCAAATGCCTGAGCAGTTTTACATTTGTAGATAGCTTTTGCACAGTGTTGATTGCATTTCAATATGAAGTGGCTTGCATTTTATTAGGCTCATGGATCCCGATGTACATCTAACTGAGTAAAAGAGATATGAACGTTGCACATATGGGGAAAATGAGAATTTTATTAAATAAGAATGGAACAAGCTATCTTATTATGATGATGGAACTGTTTCTGTCTTAAATCAATGTTTTTGCAGGTGCAGCCTTCATCACAGCCTCATTCTTTCAGCATTGGATGATGCTTTTTCCTAAAAGGCAGCTTGAACATCATCCTTTATAAGGGTCAGAGTTGTGGCAGAGTCTTTGAGTGAAGGCTTGAAAGTTTTCATATCTGTGAAAATGGACTATAGTCAGCTAGTTCTATCTTGGCTCTAACTAATTGCCTAGCAATGATGGCAATTTCTAATAATCCAGGAAGACCTTATTAGTTTTTATCTACATACATGTCTTGAATTATAGAGTTCATGACAGTGGGATAGAATTATTTGGCACATTCCAGTGTTAGTTTATGTTAGGGGTGTGCAATCACTGTAACAGTACCTTACTCCTCCTGCACTTGGGAACAGCCCCTCTTTTCCCAGTTTTCCTCATCTACACATCCACTAAAAAAGTGCTAAAGCTCTTTAATTTTGCTGTTCCGTGCCTGGTTGCCATCTTCTCCACCAATTCTGTTATTCCAGTCTGAAGCCTGTGCCGAGTTGCTGCTGATTTGTATTACATAGCACAGATTGTTGCCCTTTCCAGCAAGGTGAACTATCCTTTCTCATGTCCCAGACTGACTTTGAACTTGAATAACAACTCCTTTGAAAAGCTTTCCAGATATGACCTATTTAAGTTTTTTTAAAAATTTATTAAATGAGGCATCCCTGAATTACAACTTGTAGCATGTCATAGATAAAAATCTATTCAAACTTCTATTGTATGTAACACAATGATACTAAAATATTGTTTACAACATTTCTTTATGGATCTTCATGCTTGTCTTGGTGATTTGTTCTCAAAAACTAACAAAATGTGTACATCTCATGAACCTGAAGGAACGTATAAGACTTTAATAAAATCCTAACTCTTAATCCCAGGTTTATGTAATGGGAAATTGTTCCTAGGTGTAGTTTACCTATATTCTTTGTCTCTATCAGGCTGGACTACTTAAGATGAAAGAACAGGCTCTGGAAACCAAACACTTTATAGAAAATCAGGAGGCAGAAGAGAGAAAACTCCTAAAAGTCATTGCTGAAGCTGATGCTGACAGGCTGAAGCAAAAGAAGGAATTTGACCGGGTAGGAATCTCTAATTTGGCTTTTCAAATACACTGTATTCTGTTCCCTCATTTGTCCAGTGTATTTTTAAGATCAAGATGCTCAGCTCTGTAAATGTGGTACTACTGAAGCTTTATAGTGCCGTTGAAACAAAAACATTTAGATACTGAAATGAATATGTAGATTATACTATTCATGTGACTGAACCCTTATAGGGGAAACTATTAGGCCCTTGCCATATTTCTTTCACTAATAACAGTGAAACCTCTTAATGCACATGATTTTGACTGATGCAAGTTTAGTCATGATACTTTGGGACTGTACTGAGGAACTGTAACTGAGATTATTGCTTTGCCCTGCATCCTTAGGTTATCAACGAGAGAGATATCTTAGGGTCCCAGCTTGTTCGGCGCAATGAAGAAGTGGCTCTGCTCTATGAAAAGATAAAAATCCAGCAGTCCATCTTAAACAAGGGTGAAACTCAATACCGACAGAGAATGGAAGACATCCAGCTTCTCAAGCTGGAGATCAAAAACCTTCGGCGTAAGAAAGGAATACTTGGCAAGAATGTGGCTAATGTGGAGGAGCTCAGGTAGAAAAACTGAATACATTTCTATAGTGACTGCATCCATGATTCTGTGTTTGAAACAGAAAATATGTTTTATGCATGGTAAAGATTTGTATCAACAAACTTTATATCTTGGAGAAGGGGATTGTTTGGTTTGACCTCAAATCCAGACTGGATTAAATTCACAAAACAACTTATCAGCAATTAAGGAAATTAAAATATAGAACGGAGAAAAGGAGGAAAAAAGGCATCTTGGCTGAAGTTGAAATAGCTTCTACATTTCCCCTTGTACTGTGAGTTACTGCCTACAGAATAAACTTGATAGACAGCAGAAGAAAAGGTGTTCATAGTTCAGTGAGCTACTTAGTGGTACCCAAGGCCCAAATTAGTGGAACTGCTTTTTATTAGGCAATCCACAAAGGATGGGGAGCACTTGACATATTTATAACAAACCCCTGCACATTTTCAGAGCTCTCTCCTTCCAGATTTATATGCAGACTTGCTCTCTGAGAAAGATTTAGTAAAATTTTCACTGAAGGTTGTGTTTCTTTAAAATAGAAGTTTGATAGCTCCATCCTGATTTATCTCCTCCTTCTCTAGCTTAATGCTTTTTTTTTTTTTTTCTTTTACCCCTCATGTATTTGAGGTGTATTCTTTGCTGATGGGAAGCTATTGTTTTTTGTAGAACCAGTCTTGGTTTGTAAAGAGAGACAGCTGTGTTTTTAGCAGATAACCGTCATACTAATTCTATGTAGCCATCACAGTTTTGGGTGAGATCTTTAGCCTAACTGTATCAGTATAATTCCATGGCTTTCGCCAGAGCAAATTAACTTCAGTCCGTGGTCAGTCCCATTGACTCCAATGGAATTATGCCAGTTTGATTTGGTGTAACAGAAAAGAGAACTGGGCACAAAACATTAGCAATTGCAGTTTTCATCGACTGACTGCAGACAGGAATAGGAGTTGAACTTGCTACCCAAATGCATTCAGCTGAAAGTCTGTTACTGTGTTGAAACTCAGTGATGGTATTGAAGTATAGTGTGATGCATGCCATGATGGGTGGATCAATTCTTGCTAACTGCAGCAGCAATCACATACTTTAATGAAGTCCAAAATCATCATGAAAACTGCCTGTCGAAAGACTCCATTTATCACTTGTGCTGCTAATTAGCTTTCTTGATTTGCCAGTTGGAGATGTGGTTTTTTTCCCTCTTCCAAAAGCTTGTCCAACCTCACAGTTTAAAAAAAAAAAAGGCCTTTTTCTCTCTAGTGAGCTAAATGCAACTCTGTGCTTAGCAGGAAAAGGTTCAATGGCAGACTAGGCACATGGTGATCCTCCACCCCCTTTTGACCTTGGAGAACCTACAGGATCCACTCACTAAAGTGATAAGGGTTGGACCATTGCAAAATGTGGCTTC